TTCCCTTAGGTAGTGGCTAGGTGTTTGGATGTACTAGCGGTGTAAGCAGGTTCTCCCCCCTGTGCTGTGCTGGCACAAGCGTTAGTGTGGCTGCATGGCAAACTGCACCAGGGTCCTGATTTAGCTGGAGTGCGAACCAGAAGACTAGCTTTTACACCTGGGTCAGTTTTCTCATTGGTTTATCTTGTGTCACTGCAGATTCTTGTGCTGGCCTGAAATGGGAGGGGATGTGGAGGAAGGAGAAGGCAGGATTCCCTAATGCATTTAATGGTTCATCCCAGTTTAGTTTCATTTGAGCTGCAACCCTATTTGAGTAATAGAATTGTTGTCCAGGCTGTTTGAGATGCACAGAGTCAGACTGTGATTTTTTGCATTTTGTGGCAGTGTTCCCCTGTACTGTGCTGGTTCAACTGTGGTTTGTATGGAGGAATCGATCCAGCTGAAAATGGCCTAGGAAAAATTGCATTTCTGCTGAATCAGCTTTCTGATATGGTTCGCAGTGTGGCTATACAAGCAGCACTGCTGGCACAATGTGGGACATAGTGGCAGGCAAGGCAAGGTTTGCTTAAGCTGTGTTACTTCTGATGTGGGACAAACATTGAATGACATGCCAACTAGGATTATGAAGATACCTTCCATCTGTGTCGTCTTCTGCATGAGTTAGGAAACCTGCAGATCCAGGTACAATTTTAGTGATAATCCAGCCCCTGTGCTGAAGTTCCATTGGACAATTTACTGGAGAAACTCTGGTTTATAATCCCAACACCACTTGACATGGTGTTGCTCAGGGTTACGTAGCAAACTGGTGTGTGAGCACTGATCTGCTCTGCTCTATGTTGTGGCTGGCTAGGCTAGACTGCTTTTACTGTAGCTTGGTACTGTGCTTTTACATAAAGGATATAGTTTCAGTGGGCTGGCTAATGTGAATATACCTAGATTAGGAAAACAGATTCTGTTTTACAACACTGCTGTTAAAATGGTGTTTGAAATGTGATTTCAGGTTACAAACTCCTGTTTAAAAGAAAATTCAGCATGTCAGAATTTCCTAAGTACGTTTGCTGTTTTCCCAGTTGAAGCAGTTCTGACTTTGAGACACGTCAAGTTTTTTTTCCCCTTGTGGGAAGAGGAAGGAACTCTTTTTCTTTACTAGGATGGATCGAGGGGGGAAGGTTGAGTCTTCTGCCATTCCAGATCCTTGCTGGGTGGGTGTTAGATATGTCTGTCACCTGTTTGTGGATTCAGGCCTGGCTGCACTTGTCCTCCCACATGGTCTGACCTAACCATCATGTGGTACTAGGCAAAGTGTAATCTCTCCAGTACATCTCCTTCGATAAAGCACATTGGCTTTCGTTCGTCTAAGGGTGACAGCAGTCCTTACCAGCCAGCCTCCTAACTGAGCAATTACTCTTCCTTTTAGCCCCTTTTCACAGGCCTCCCATGCTACAGGGACAGGGCCTGAGGCCAGTTATATTGGTCATGATTTAACTCTTTCCAGCCTTTGCAAGGATTGTTATAGCATTCTTCTAAGTCTGTGGTTTAAGGGTCTGTGTTTCCAAGCTTTCTGTATACATTGTAAAGAGAAGAGGGGCACAATCCCAATGTTTTCTCTTTGCAGATTACTGTTACAATTTGCTCTCAAGTGGATATGAGTGATGTTCGCTTTGGACAGGAAATATGTCGAGGAGGGGGTAGGCACTTTCTAGCCAAATTGTAACTGAAGTAAAAGCAAATACTCATATGGCAGTAAGGTTTGGCTCAGTCTCATTTGTTTTGTTATAACAAGCACCAGCTTTGGTTGGTGGTTTTTGTTGTTTTCTTTTTTTCCTCCACCCTTCTTTTCCTTGCTTCTTTTCAGATCATGACATAGGGTCCTGGGAATGAAAGTATGACAGCATGGATGAAACAGCATGTATTCATTGCCAGTAATTCTTATTGTTGCCTTGAATATACATTGAATGCATTTTTGAAACAAATGTACTATCACTTATAACTTTGTTCTGGGTATTACAGAGCAAACATTACTATCAACTGAAGTACGAAACTGAAATGGAAGTGGGGAAAATGACTATTTGAGCTGCTTTATCAGCTATTAATGTGTTGAATGTTGTCACTCTCGTTCAGGCTAATTATGAGTGTTAAGTGGGGAATACTTAATAAAAAAACTGTATTGTTAAAAACGTTGTTTCAAGTTTATGCTTTCTGATTGATTTCTAGAGGATTATCCTGATGGTTTTTACTTTGCTTCTTTGCAGCTTGCTTTACCTGCATCTTTTTGAAGCTGAAGGTTAGCCTCTGGAAATACCTTTTGCTTGATAACTGTGCTGCATTGTAGTCATTTATGTAGTGGCAGTCTTGTGAGTTTAGACTGGTTGAAACAGCAGCATACTAAGAAGCAGGAGACTTACATCTTCATTAATCAAAACCAAATATGTTTGCCCTTGTCTGATGTCCGTTACTGCTTAAATGTTGACACAGTAACCATTTCACTGGAGACTTCCAGCTGGTTTGTTTCTGTCTAAATTACTGAACATAAAAGAATTTTAACAGAGTGGTGGCTTTTAAATACTTATTTAAAGAATTACAGAAATATGAAACATTTAAAAATTGCTCATTTCATTAAAGCCCATTATATATTGCACATTTCAGTTACTGCAGCTGAGGTTTTACACAGGAAAGCTTTTTTGTTAACTTTATGTGGAATATTTTTCTTGCATTCATTTTCACTGATAGTGAATGGGGCAAGAGAATTCTTTTTTGAAATGCAAATGATTTTATTTGAAAATCCTTATTTGTTGTACTCAGCTGTCCTTCTGGGTTTATTATGAAGGATTACTTCACCTGACTGGATTTCAAATTGACAGTTGTCCTGTTAAAACACCATTGTTCGTATAAAAGGAGAGTAATCAAGAGGTCAGCCTATCTAGAACTGAATTCACTGGAACAACTCAATCTGTGTCTTCTCAGGATCGGGGTTCCTGAAGTACCAAAAGTTGAGAATATTCTCATACTTTTAAAGAAAATGATAATAATCTGTAGTTTCATCAGTAGTTTCTGCGGTGATGCTATTGGAGGTTTATGCAAGTTTATAAACTGCTGAGTCTAGTAAGTTTCGATCACTAGTTGGATTTGAATTGATGACGATAACACAAACTGGAACAGGTTGCCCAGAGAGGTGGTGGATGCCCCATCCCTGGAAACATTGAAGGTCAGGTTGGACGGGGCTGTGAGCAACCTGATTTAGTTGAAGATGTCCCTGCCCACGGCAGGGGGGTTGGACTAGATGACCTTTAGAGGTCCCTTCCAACCCAAACTATTTTATGATTCTGTGAAACACTGTGCTAAAGAACATGTTTATCTAGAATATGGAGACGCCATGATGAACTGGACACGTGGGTTAAGACTCTCATGTGAGATTTACTTTTTTTTTTTTTTGGTTTGTCTTGCAGGTTGCCATCACGAAAGCCAAAGTGGATTTCTCCGGTGTGGTGTGCCTGCCCCCTTCCGTCATTGCTGGAAATGGGCTGGACGGAGGAGGGGCTGGCGAAAATGATGATGAGCCGGTGCTGGTGTCACTTTCGGCGGCCCCCAGCCCTCAGAGCGAAGCTGTTGCCAATGAGCTGCAGGAGCTCTCCTTGCAGCCCGAGCTGACCATCAACCTCCATCATGGCCGAAACCCCAACCTTCCTCCACTCAGTGAAAGGAAGAATGGTAAGTGATACAGTGCACTCATGTCTCATGTAGTATGTCCTCACCAAGGAAGTACTGTGGTGTTGTCATGGTATGTGTTCTGATGACAGGGCTGCTTCTTATTACTTCTTACAATGTTTTATTTGCATGAGGAACTAATAATCTAGAGTTGACAAAACTGATTTACATTGTTTGATGGGAAGGATTGATGTTACTGGCTATGGAAGTTCCAGATAGCTCCAGTGTTAAATGATTATTGTTTTAGGTGAATACCAGAAACAACTTCCATGTGCTTTGTGGTGACTAAAAGTTGTGCAAAGCTGAGACAGTCAGTCAAAGGAAGTATTAGCTCATCTTCAGACTATAGCCATCTGTAGATTTTTCTTTACCACCTTGGTCTGCACTTACCAAGGGTGAGTAACTTTCTCACTGCAAATGTCTGAAAAGTTCTATCAGACTTGTTAGAAGGAGGAACAAGACCTAGTATTAAAAATGAAATATCTCGGTAGGCCCTCTAATCCTACAGTGAGAATGACCTGCCGATGTTTCTTGAGCTGCGGATAGCTTATGGGCAACTACGGTATGAATCCCTCTGACCATTTGGTGAGTGGCAGTGGAGTGGCAAAATACAGGATCACTTGGTGACCAAAATTCCTGGTTTTGGAAGAATGTGAACCGTCTGAAGCTGAGGATCACCAGGCTGCCATGAAAGCCGTTGCACGTTCAGCCCCATCCTGTGACTGACGAAACCATTTGATAACTGGTGGCTTCTGTTTGTGAATTCCTCTTGGTGATCTCCCTTTACTCCACTCTCTGGGGTATATGTTGGTGGCTCTTGTCATTATGAAGGTCTTGCTAGAGTCTGAATTCTTGCTATCAACTTTATCTGCAAGATACTACAGATTTGAGCACGGCTGAGTCCTGGGTGCCTTACAGTGTTTGGCATTATATGTTGTATTATATGCATCACATAGAGTTGCATGGCACAGCATATTGGAAATGCTGGGGAGCTTTGGAATGGCTTTATAGCCAGAACATAATGCTTATGGTAAAGTGATTTAGAATATGTGAACTATAGCACAGTAATTTGGATTGGAGGGATACCTCACTTGACGTGCCTGGTTCTTTACCTCCAGAAACTGAGCATGCCCTTCTCTGAACAGTGTATCAATGTTTTGCTTGTTGGAAGAATTAATTAACTTCAACCCAAAATATTGTTTTTTAAGAGAATAAAAAGTTTCCTCATTCATATACATTATACCATCATGTGATTACAGTCATGTTTACAGGCCTTAAAAATGGAGAAGTTAGAAACTGCAAAAACAGAACAAAACGCTTCTAATTCTTAATGTTTGCATTCCTCTAAGTATGAGATAAAGGTGGTGGTGGTAAATAAAAGAGAAGAAATTGGAATATTAGTCAGCATGATAGACTGTGATCTCAACACATCTCAACTAGTGGCAGACTTGGGCATTTTACAGTTATGAAGGCAAGGAGAGATTTCAAATGAAATTTAACTGAGGTAGTTTTGAAGGTGGTAGAGGGCTTGAAGGCAGCATGGGAAAAGCATATGAGCCTTTGTTCCCAAAACCTGACAGCTGGCCACCTGAAGGTGACACTGAATTTACTGGAGGCAGGGTTCATCTTTTCTTAGTGAATAAGGCATGATTAAGGGTCCTGAACTGGGAAGAAGCAGTTTATTCTTGATGCCACAGGGAAAGGGATACTAATGTTGGGAAAGGATAAGAGTACCTTTTTAGGAAAATGAAACTTGTAGCAGCGCTTTGAATGGATACAAGCAGGATACCACAGCATTTGTTATGGTCAGAGGAAAGGCTCTTCTGTTAAAGAAATGAGAGAGTCTTTATATGATTCAGTTGTTGGATAGGTTTAAAAATTGGTATCTTGGGAATATTTTACAGTAATAGATGGTTGTCCTCTATCAGAATAATGTTATTTTTATGGACTCAACCTTGAAGCTATATCATTGTGGGCTTCAAATCTGCCTGACTGGAACAGGTAAAATAGAGTTGGGTTTAAAAAGTATTTGAAAAGGAACACCTCTGTCCACACCTTTTGCCAAAGAAAATTAGGATATTCCCGGAAATGACTCATTAGGTGGGTCTCTTCAGATCTGATTCTTTATCAGGACTCAGCACAATAGTGGAAATTTTACTGCTGGAGGTGCAGCTTTTCAGACAAGGCATAAAGTCCAAAGTCCCTGATCTAGACTACCTGAATGTTTCTTATCTTCAGAGGTATACAATGCTCTTTTCTCCTAGGCTGCAGTATGTTGTTATGTGTTGTTTGTATGTACATTCATTAAAGAATTGTGGGACAGAAAAGCGCTGTTGAAATATGGTTATCTGCAAACTGTCATAGCATAAAAGGAGGCTTAGTGAGCTGTTGAGAAACATAGCTGATGCATTTTGAATTAATAAACTTGTTCCCTCGAATGGGAACTTTTCAGTTATCTTGGGGTAGAGGTTGCTCAGCTGTTGAAAGCTGTTGAGCTTGTTAAAGCTCCTTTTTAATATGTTGTATCTGTGGTGGTGTGCCTTTCGCTTCAAACATGTTAAAAAAAAAACCCTTTAGAGATGATATGTCAGTTGAGATGTCAATCTGCTTAAACATTTGAGCAATCCAAAGTGGTTGTAGAAGCATATCTTGTGCAGTGAAACTGCTTCTGTGACAACTTGCCAAATTCAAGGTATGAGAAAGATTCAAGCTGAGTTGCAGTGGGAGGGGAGGAGATGGTAAATAAGAGACTTGCTGGAAGCTGCCTATCTGTGTCAAAGGGTCTCCTGTTTGCAGTTCTAGACAGGCATTGCTGACTCACAGCTGAACTAACTACTTATGCTGAGCGCTTCTAACAGGTTAACCCTTTGTGTAACATTTGCTTACAGAAGACTTTGCTTATCTGTAGATGTTTGTAGAAAAATATTACATGGATTTGTACTGAATTTGTTACTTCAGGCCGTGGTTCTGGAACATAAACTATAGCTGAGTTAAAATAGAAATTTCTTTGGCATGTGAAGCATCATGGAATTATGTATGCCATGGGAGAACTGGGTGTGCAGTCCTGTATGCACGTGCTGCCATATGTGCTAGGACAGCGGATTTTTTTTTTTTTTTCCTTGCTCTTAGAGAACTGAAGATCAGCAAGAGACAGTTTCTGGGGGTTTTCTTGTTGGTTTTGTTTTGTTTCAGAGCCAGACTTGTCTTCATATTCTTCTCCCTTATCACAGCTACACATTATCCTTGTATGGGTGTGTACCTACAAGGATAGGTACACCTAGATAGATGTGTGTAAAGATCTTAAAACATCTGGACTGAATAGTTGTTGTTAAGTTACACTAAATTAAAATGCAATAAAAGCAATTAAGGATATGTCTGAAGTATTGGAACATAACAGATAGATAGGAAACAATTTCTTGTCACTTCAGTGGAAGGAAACCTTATGTGGTAAGGTGTTAGTAAAATGTTTTGACACAATTATTAGGTTCTATTCAGACATCAAGCTTAATGGAACATTTTAAGTGTAGTTATTTAATTCGTCTTTGTGCTTCACAGTGAATTTTCTAGCCAAAATTCACATTCCTTCTCCTTTTTTACCCATGTTCATCAAGGCCTCAACTTTCTTTAACTATGAGAGATTACCTGTGACTGACTCATTCGTTGCCACACAAGCCAAAAAAACAAGGTCATTACAGAGTCATCTGAAGCTCTTAAGTGTATCTTGATTTTTCTCAGTCGCCTGTGCTAAGATGCCAAGATAACTTTCCCAAGCCTTAGGGCAGGGTTAGAGCAAGGCCCTGATGAATGTGGTTACAGAAACGAGAAAAAACAGATGATGAATATACAAATCTTACGCAGTTCGATAATTTCCGATCAAAATTGTCCTTCTATTTAATTTTCATTTGAAATTATGATAATTGCTCCACTAGCTTATTGACCCTCTCTTGACCCATTTTCCCAGGTGAGTTTGTAGTTATCTTTGTCCAGAGGTCACGAAAAACATTGTGTTCAAAGCCTACGACAGTCCTGGTTTCTCCTCACTGTAGGCTTGTTTAAGATGAGGTAACATTCTTTCGAATGAACTGTTGCATTTTATGATTTCAGGTTTGGACAAAGCTTGTACCAGCTTGTCAATTTTTGGGGTTTGCTTGATCTGGGATGCTTGCCTTCTACAAAGTA